GAATGCTTGGAAGCTGTAGACACCTTGCTGTGACGTTCTGATTACATCTACGTATTTGTGAACGTTCAGTAGGATGGAAAATATGCTAGGTTATTACTACCAGACATTACTTGATTTGAATTAAATCGTGATGTTGTGGGGGTGTGAGAAACAACTTATGTAAATCAACACCATCTTTTTTTTTATCTATATATTAAAAGTTCTGTTTCAGCAAGTTTTGGAGGCATTTCTTATCCAAGAAAACACATCTATTTTTTAAAAAAAAAAAAAAAACCCATTATCCTTTATAAACACTTAGCATGCCTCACTTACCGACTTTCTTGAACCAGATTTCTAGCAAAGAATGAATGTTTGATTATGATATTGTTTCTTTATATAGTTGCTCTCGCTTCATGTACCAATAGTACTTAGGTCATGTTACAGTTATACTACAGTTAAACAGTTGATTTTGGGTATACCAAATAAAAGATGGAAACTATATACCTTGCATCACACTTAATATTTACATAATTTTGATGTTGTTTTTTTTTTAATTCTCTTCAAATCATATTGTATTCTATGAATCGGTAATGTAAAATGACTAAGAGACAGCATTGAGTCTGTCTTAATCTTGGTTTACATTATACATACTTGGTCCTTTATAGAATTGTATCCATTTAAAGAACCACGCACGCTAACTCTCGATTCCCGCCTACATTTTACACCCATTTAATTCAATACTAATGGCAATTTGGCCATAAAGTCTTTGTTAAATGCAAAGAAGAGTTCAATGGTAATTGATTAATAATTTTAATACCAGTGTTAAATAGTTAATTACTCTTAATTTCAGCTCTTTTTATAAGGGGGGTAGACGATGTTTTCCATTGAAATCAGGCTTGAAAGCAGCATCATATTTTAAAATATTCTTGGATATGGATAAATGTTCTTTAAATCTTTTCTTATGTTTTACACATATAAAATTAAACATATGTAATTGATTAAATACAACGTTAAAGTTGTAAACCCCTACAAAATTGGTGAAAAAAATGAGCATTTTTGTCTTTTTTTGTCTGTAAACATGTGTCCCCCCCGTGAAACACAAAAAGCTTTGGTATGAATTTGTGAAATAACAATCCATATTATCTGTAAAAAGGAATTTTTGTTTCATGGGGGGGGGGGGGGGGGGGAAGATGTTTTAAAAATATTTTCCATTTTCCATTGATTTCTATAGTGAAAAACAAAAGTTCTACCAAAATTATAGAGTTATCTCTCTTTGTTTTCCCAAATAAATAATGTTTTATGAAAATTCATATAAATATCTATATTTATTATGAAAAATCATTCAAATATATTAACTTTTGAAAATTGACTTGGAGGTAGGCGGGAGAACAAGACTATCGTTCGCAGTTCTTTGGATTTCATGGAACCTAAGCAGAGTTATCTAACATTGCTATTATTAGAACAACCTGAACTAGCCTTACAATGCTTCTGATGTGGATTTAAGTGTTAAATATGAAAATCTATGGTCTGCTGCAGGCCATGTAAGCTTTCAAGTATTTCTGTTAACTTGTTATTATTTAATTATATTATAGATATACTTAAAAGAGCCAGACGAGATTATTTTGAAGGATACCTTGTGTCCATCACAGGAAGACTTCATGTAGATCTTTAAGTGTTTTGTTTTAAAGATGGAGTATATATGAAAGTGTGAGCTGTCATTAGAGTAAATTTTCTCTCTCTCTCTCTCTCTAATAAGCAGATGGGCTTCTTTACTTCTTTTGAAAGCTATTTAATTATGATATTTCAACCAACACTGTCAGGGACTTCAGCATCCTCAAGTCTTGTTGTGTGTTTATGGTGAGCAAAATAACCCATGGGCATTTCTTACACAAGTTGAAAATGAACATCTGGTGGATGTGTAGTTGTGTCCTAGTTCCTAAAATACTACACAAAAAAAAACATCTTTTACAAGAAATCGGCTGACTCTTGATAGGTTTGAATTCGAGGTTCACTTCTTTTTAACAGGAAAACCACAGAATGTTAATTAAGACAGATATGTCCAGGACCCTCTTTGACCTACCTTTTCTGCTTCTTTTCACACACATTTGCCTTTGTTACCTCTAAATTTCCACAGAAGTTCACAAAAACACAGTGTTTTCTCTTCATTTCAACTTCAAGAAAGGTTTAGCAGTGACATATCTGTAGAGGTTACATTTTACACACAATTTTTATGCCCTGCCATGAATAAGTCTGGGGCATATAGAGTTTGTTATGTCCATCTTCTGTCTTTCTGTCTATCAGTTCAGTCCTTCCATCTGTCCATCTATCACACTTTGCTTATACTTCACTGTGACTTTGACCTCACTATTCCATATTTTGTGTTGGCTCATTTTTAAAGTAACTACTCAAGAAATTTTTATCAAAACTCATGCACTGATACAACTGTGGCATAATTTTCTGACCTTGACCTTCCCTCTGACCCTACCCTCACTATTACTTATTTTGAGTTTAGAAGGAACTTCATGGTGTTTTCATTAAAACTTTTACTGTGATACCTACTGGCCAGGTTTATTCAATTGTGTGATTTTGACCCTGTCCTTACCTATGACCTTTGACTCCATTATTTGTCATTTTGCATTTATCTTGGTTTTAAAGAAATCATTCAAGATATTTTCATTATTTTTTTATCAAGCTTAATATGCTAAGATGCATATTGGTGAGAGCAATTCAACTGTATCATCATTTTCTCACCTTAATCTTTCTCATGACCTTGACCTCACTTTCCTTCATTATGCTGTGTTCAGGGTATTTCATTGGACTTTGTATACTGATACAAATTAATGAGAGAAATTATAGTGGTTCTTTGACCTTGACCTTCTCTGTGACCTTGAATTTCACATTTTTTCCTCCTTTCACTGTTAGTTCATCTTGATATTTAATTCCATAAAGGATAACTCTAGAAAACTCAATGCATCAATAAAACTCTTCAAGAGCATTTTTACCATTATATAAATTACTTAAGAAATCATATATAAATTTTGCTAAATATGACATAATGAAATTGAACAGTGAGATTTTATTTAGTTGTTAGATCATGAACCAGTCTCAGACCAAAGAAGGAAGGTTGATTTCTTTTTTTTTCTGTTTCAATACAATTGTACCTTGGGTGGGACATTTATGCCCTATGGCCATATTTCTGTTTTTTAATTTTTAGGATTTTTAACAGGCATTTTTATTAATTGAAGCAGTCCATTTGGCTGATGGTCAGTTCTCCAGGAAAACACTGAATACATGCTCAAAATAATAGTTAAAATAAAAGTTAACTTAACAATTTTTATCAGTACAAGTTACAGTCTTTAAAATTTGACAAAAACTAGAATTTTTTTTTAATAGTTCTGAATTAGACCTTTGACACCTAAAATTTTGACCTTGGACATGTACAGTGAATTCCATGTTTCATTTTCAGCTCACTTTCCAAATCATTACTTTCTTGGATTATTAAAATTTATTATTTTGAATTGGTTCCATAGCTATAATGTAATATATAGAACCCACTCTTTTGTAAAACTAATCTATGTATTTCAAAAGGTTTGGCATCATGTTTTGTGGTACTTATTCTATGAAACACTATACAAAGAGAAAAGTTGAAGGAATTCTAAACAAAAGGTTACATTTATTTTTAGTTTGAATATAATTAAAATGAATATCTTGAGCATCAGCTGTTGAGTTTTATTGCCAGGCTGTGCAAAGGGGAATAACTTGTGTTGTCTTCTTTACTTGGTAGTTGGAATTGTTGCATAATTTGCTCCTGTTCGTGCTTGATACAATGCTAATTGTATATTCTTATTAATTGTGACTTCGTGAATGAGCGATTACTTGATTAATTAGATAAAAGACATATCTGGTTCTTATAACTCTATGCACTCTTTCCACTTTATAATCGGAATTGCAAAATAAGTATGTAAACATGATAAGGAAATGGGGGAGGGCACACACTAGGAGAAATTCTCAGAACTAACCCAATACTCCCACTACTTTGTAGAAAAAGAATTGGAATTTTTAAGAACTTATGTTGCATGTCATAATGTAACTGATTAACTGTTGAGGTATTTAGTAGGCATTTTTTTATGCTGTCTCAGAATTTGAAATTACAAGCTTATAAAGCCATATGTGCCACCTGGGACAAACAATTCTGGTTTGTTATATATGTAATTTGTTATATCTGATAAGTTTATGATACATTTAAAACCCAAGGGAATAAAAATTACTTTGTTGTAAGCATTACAAGCATATTGGCTGAAACTATGTTTTTTTCTGTAAATGTCAGAATCATGAGTTTAGATTAGATGCATAAGGCATGGTAAAACTGTACAAGAAAAATGTCCAAGGTGGTTATCCGCTGAAGTATGGTATCAAAAGCACTAGGTGGAACCTCAGAAAAATGTATTTTTATAAAGTCAAGAACTAAGAGCTTTTGGCAGCAAAGCCTCATTTGCATTAGTCAGTCTATCCAGGATGTATCATAATTTGTTTATCACTTGGAATCCTGGCAAACAATCAATTCATTTGAAAATTCCAGCAGCCGAGGGGATTCCCCTGCTTATAACCCCAAAGTGAGTTTTGAGGGTTGAGAAATCATGTGCTCTCTCTGTCAGCTGATCTGAATCTGCTCTTGACCTCTCTAACTAGGCCACAAGAAGAGGGCTTTCATAACATCAGTATATTATGAAATGCAGTACATGTATGCAGAGTAGGTGTTGACAGTTCATTGCTATAAATGTACAAAGGGCAAAAATTTGTCCATGTTCTTAATCTGTTTTGGATTACCAAAAAGTTACTGTATTAAAAAACGAAATTAGGGCAGAGAGTAATGCCTTTTGGTGTACAGGTAATGGAGCAGTCATGCATGACATTCCAAAATAATCTTTTGTCATGTCAAAGGTCAGGATAGGTGGATTCATGCACAAAATCAGCGAGGGGAACCCACCTAAGTGAATGCTAATGTTGGATGTTTATCCAGAAGATTATTCTTGTCTATAATAGCCTAATCTTTATGGTTACTTTTTATCTAAATCTGATGAAGTGTCGAGATTACAGGAATTATCGACCTCAGGTTATCTGTGCTAGAAGGAATTTCTCCGGACAATAAAGACACAGGTGGACATTGATGTGAAATATACATACCAGTTATATATATATACATATGCATATAGTTTGTCCGAGTGATGGATGCCCAAGACCGATCAAATAGACGAATGTGACAGGAAATCTAGACACTTGTGAAGAGATTTTAAGCTTTTCTACTTGTGTTGTCATCTCATACCATATGGATGGTTAATTTGGAGGGAAAACTGGTTTACTTTGGTGACGCAGGTAAATCAATGCATCAATCAAGATGCACATTATTTAAAATCTTCAATTTAGATCCAATTTATGAATGGAATATCTTGGATGAATAAGTTCATTCATTGACATATTATCTAGTTTATATATAATCGCATCTAAACCTAGCAGGAAATAAAATTTAGACTTTAATTTTTTTTTCAAAATTTTTTTTGATCATGAAAAATTTATTCTTGGAACAGCCTCATATATTATTTATGAAGAATATGATAATTCTTGGGCAAGTTGATAAGAGCTTTAGTTGTAGTCCTGGAAAATTCATAGTGCTTTTTTTTCCTTCTTCTTTCTGGAACTGCCTTGTAATATGAAAAAAAAAAATTGATATTCATACATAGAGCTGAATTTTCTGTTGCTGATCGGCAGAGCAGGCCATTGATCGATTGATAAGTAGCAGGATCATGTGAATTACATGTTGTTTATGTTCATTATCCAAGGAATTTATTTAGGGGGGGATTTTGCGGAATGTTTCCTAACTATACGTGAGCATTTTCATACCTGGAATTTTAGAGTTTTTATTCTGAATATATTAATTGCAGTCATGCTTCACCAGAGGAAATTGGAAGTTACATAAAATCTTTAAGTTTCTGGAAGCAGCCATGTGGTAGCTGTTTGTCTGTGTTGAAAAAAGTGGGTTTTTTTTGCTCTAAACGATTGCCAACAATTTTTTTTTTGGTTTCACCTAACTATACCAGTATAACATAAAATACCTGTTCCGATCCCTGGAGTCATATGATAAATATTCTGACAAAAATAAGGAGTACGGCCAGGAAGTGCAGAGTCATTAACCAATTGTATAACATTCAATCAAGACGGGAGGAATTGTGTATTTACATGATTGGAATTTACACTGATGAAGTGTCCAAGTGATTGTGGTGGTGGTTACATGGTACCAAAAGTCATGTGCAGCATCTGTATAGAGGAATACTCAGGCTACAATGGAGGTTATGGTATGTATCTAACCCTCCAATGCATGTGTTTTACAAATCTCTACCCCAAAAAAAAAATCACACTATACCCAGATTTTGACCCTTACTGTGTTTGCATCAAAGCGACAGTAAACTTGTATTAAAATGATGATTTTCCAACATGGATGCTTTGCGGTATTGTTCTTTAGAATGCTGTCTGATATGATGTAATTGGTATCGATTCTTTCGAAAGGCATCAATATTTTTCCATCAGATTCTGTAAACTCTGTGAGACATGAGTCTGCACAACGAAACGAGGGTTCCAGTAAGTGCAGATGCACTGTGAAAAGGAGCTCAGTTTTCAGGGGTGGGGGTCAATGAATACCATTTCTAAAACATTACTTGGTTTGTTTGTTTGCAGAAAAATTGGGTGCCTTTATACTAGATCATTAATAAAGTTGATCTTATACATGAACTAATAATGGAAGATTGCGAGACTAATGAGTGAAATCCAGTATGTTAGCAGCATCACTGTTCCCCTCCCATGGTTTTTGGTTGGATATGATTTTTAGCCAACACTTTGTATCAGTTTCTATCCCCTCTCTTTAATCGTCATTGCAAAATGAACCAGACTCCTAAAAAATTGTTTAACTTACAGTGTTGCAAAATCTCAATTCTTTTGTTAACCTCTCTGTTGCAAAATGCACGATTTAGCATTAGATTGTTTTTGAAAGGTCATAGATAATGTTCAACTGATCTAATGGAGTCAAATTGCAAAGTAAAGTATCTATATACAGCACTGCAGAGTAGATTGGTATAAGTATATTAACATGACATGATAAAGAGATGATCTTTTGTTGTGTCTGAGAATGGGATGGAATGGTCTAGAACAAAAATCTGATTATATGACTAAAATTGGACTGGCATCTTTATATCAGATCAATAATAATGGCCTTATGTCGGCTAAATGACAGAGGTTACCGAGTTAAAAATTTCATTATTAGAGGCACATTTTAAATATACTCTGTTCAATAGGTCAAGTCTTACAAAGATAATGAAGACATTGACGGTTTGATTTTCCTCCTTTGTGTTGGGGTTTAAATTGCTGTTTACCTTGCGTGTCTGTGATTGCAACCACACCTTCTTTTTGCACTAAAACATATGGGCCACAAGATTATGTATATGTTTAAGGCATTTATCTTGTGTATGAAAGGAAATGTAGTCCTTTTATCTAATGGGGTGAAGATATCAGTGTATGGGGGGCTATGGAGGTGCTAAGTACTAGAGGGAACCATTACTTTGCCTATTTTGCAAATATTAAAGAAATATTAATTAAGTCAAAAAAAGCAATATATTCACGACTAAATAATTTAAGACCTACATGAAAACTCCCCTCCCACCTTCCTCCATATTTCTAGCTCATTATAGAAGGATGGTCAATATTTGCTACCTAATTTTGTATGCGACCATCAATTACCTGTAGTAATCATGTACTTAAAATGCAATTTAATTTTTAAGGAGCAGCATATAATAAATGTTGATAGTGCCAGGACAGTAGTGATTCCAATTTGGTCAGCTTCCTTGAATCAATAGGAAATTGCACAGACTATTCAAGAAGGATGTCTGCATATTAAATGCCTGCAAGTCACCTATCCTTGGTGTAGATTTTCAAAGCTTGAAGGATATGCCTCTTTTAAAAGATTATTTTGACACTTGAGGACTATTTTCCCAAAACATGTCATACTAGTTGACAGTCTATAAAGTAATAAAGCTTTCAGTATGTTTTCGTATGTGGCAGGAAAAAAGAATATACAGCAGGCTTTATTGAAGGTGTTTATTGTAATGGGAATCTGTTTCGGACTTTTATCCCAGGCTTTAAAATTCATGTTACTCAGAAAAACTCAATGATTTCATGTTCTTATTTTAGAAAGATTTGGTATGTTAATGACATGAAGAGGAACTAAATTTGCAGAGGCGAAATTTTTGGGTGGACATCTATTAATGTATCTTTTTGTTTCACACTGCTATTAGAATTTTACATTACGAAGAAGGTACAATGCATTTATATGTCAATTAGCATATAGATTCTTTTAATTAACCCTGAAAAAAAAAAACAAATAGGAACAGTAAAATTTGGGTGTTACTGTTAGGAATAATGCCAGAATATTTTAATGTGGAAGAAAAAAGTGAAATGTGAGGAATACGTTGGTGTCTTGAGGTTTTTGGCAGAGACCTAGAAGCAGATGGGATGATTCACCAATGTGTGAAGTTTCTCTTCTGCAGAGTGTAATTGCTGGCTGCTAGATAAGGCTTTTAGGAGGCTGACTCCAAATCAATAGATGCCTGCTTTCTGCACTTTTTGATCAGTATTGATCACTTGGTTTGACAGGTTTGGGCTATTGGAGATGATGCTCTTAAGATTTTAAAACAAATAAATATGAAAGCTGATGAGGGAGATAATCAGACGTGAATCTAAGGAATGATCGCAACAGTGATAAATAACATAGAAAAGATTGATTGCTTTGTCTGCATAAACTGAGTACATTTGGAATATTAGAGATGTAACCGTACAGAAAATTTTGTAGAGGCTGAATATACACATTTAAAAGAAAAATTATACCCATTATAGTCTTGGTAATTGTAGATGGAAGTTTGAAAATAACCAATACAATTCGCAGCCACTTTCTATTTTGTAAAGCTTTTTAACATATAGTACATCTTAATGCATAAAATTCAATTGCCCAAAGCACTTTACTGGGTTTATTACTCTGTCAAGGACTTGAAATATTTGATTGGTGATAGCATTGCACCCGGATGCAATTTATTAGAAGTGTAGCTTCTTAAATATTACTGATAAATCAGTATGTTGCAATATGAAGAGTATTTGGTAATATTTTTCACAATGTAGTATTTGCAGTTTTTATTGGATATACACCAAAAACACAAAGTACATTGCAATTCAACATTAATCTGTCCAATTCATTTTAAAATTTTATATACCAATATAAAAGTTAACAACATAACTCCCTGATAAGGCAGTACAAGAGTTCAGATTGTTCCATAACTTTGTCCTTGAATTAGCTGAGAAATGGATTCACACTTTCTCTGAATGAAATATATGGAGATAACAAACAGTATTCAAACTCAAAAGTCCATTAAACAATACAAAATAGGAGCAGAGCAAACACGGACCTCCAAACATCAGAGGTGGGATCAGGTGCCATGGAGGAGTGAGCATCCAATACAATACAACATAAATCTTGAGAGCATGAGAGGAATTAATTTGATCTTGTACTAATTTACTATGAATAGATAGGGCTACGTTCAGGAAGTTCCAGTGCATCATTGAAAAGAAAGATTTGCATTAATCTCTTAATTTATTTTCTTTATTTAAGGGTTTAAGATTAGAATCTGAAATTACCACAGGGCTCTTGATTGTCTATATTTGGGGCCAATGAAAGGCCCCATTCTCAATTCTAAACAAGTTACATTTTTTCCCAACCGAATGTGTTAATATTCCCAGTAGTCTATTTAGTTAGTAACAAGCACAGGAAATACAAGTTTTATGGGATAATGATTTTCCCAAAATTCCCAAAAAGGTTCACTAGTTTTTCCAATGTTAATGGCCCTGGCCCCATGCAGTTTCGAAAAGTTGTGTGAGTGCCCTATTTTCAAAAGTATGGAGGCAGATTTTCTTTGAATGCCAAACAGAGAGAGGCCTAATTCATGAATGAAAATTTAATTTTGGCACAACAAACATGTAAACATGTCGAGTGTTCAGAGTGCAAATTTCCTATATAAAATGATTATCATATGAGTATAGTGTTAACTTGTAATGGAATATATCCTGAGTACTGCAAGGACAAAGTCGAGAAATTCTTAACTGTACGATCATCCGTTTCGGAAAAAAAAAAAAAAGAATGCACCATATTGTAAATGAAGAAGATGGAATTTTGTCACTTCTTTCATGGATAATTTTTGTGCCACCGTGTACCTTATGATATTATAGATATCTTAATTATCTTTAAACTATTCACAAAGCAGTAGTGTGCCCTGTTAAGTGTATGTACATATTTTTCTCTGAAAAAAGAATTTATGAACTCATGACATAGCTATTTTATTGGAATCTTAGAATTCCATTTTGAAATCAGAGGTGCCTATAAGGTCCTGGTATAATATGATCCAAATGAAGTAATGCATCATTAAATAAGTGCAATTTTTGTGCTACATATTCCGTGAAAGTACATGGTTGATCTTTGCTTTAACTTGGTGTATATTTACAGTTAATGTAACAGATATTTCCTCTTCCTATTATGAATATTTAGTTACAGGTAAAAGTTATCGGCACTTTTGGATAATTTACAATAAAAGACCCCAAAAAAGAAGAAATTTCTTTTGCTTTTTTGTCATGAAAATGCAGATTTGATTCACTGGCGGCAAATAACACAGTTCTTACATTAAGACCTGCTAGAAAAATGATGGATGGATTCAATCATATATATATGCTAAGTCGGTGAAAAAAGTGTCGATTAGTATTGTCGGACCTCTGATGATGTCAAGGATATCAAACTTTGCATATTTCAGTTCTGTGTGAAATCCATTCTGGTGTTAAATTTCTTTTGATATATTTTATAATTAAGTCTAGATTAAGGAAAAATATTTGACCTTGATTTGCCCTTCACTGGTCATAGAACAAATTTTGCCCTTGATACAAAATCCACACACGTACATAGCAAATATGTGATAAATATTGCTAAATAAGAAAGAAGTATTTTTTCATTAAACATTTCTTACATAACTTTAGTCTTTATATGTTAATAATGAAAATCAAAGTCAGTTTTGATATATTTGAACATGATGAAAAGGTTAATAGGTGTATTTTTGCAAGTTAGTTTAAATCATTCCTTTATTTATAAGTAATTAATAGCAAAAATGCAATTTGTTTTAAATTACTTAATAAATGTTTGATTATATATAAGATGTAGACATCTTCTGCTTGAGTTCTTTGAGGGTTCACTGACTATTTTGAGTTGGGGAGAATT